GGGGGGGGGGGGAGTCGTTTTGTTTTTTCCCTGCTCTTAGGAACAATTGTAAAGAACTGCTTCTTTGTTTGAAACAGTCTTGTGGGACTTGTGAACAGGAGCCCTGTTCTATATCAGAGCTAGGTGATCCTGGGGCCAACCCTCAGGCAGTAGCCACAAAAGCTGACGCACCAGAAAAATGTACATGCTCTGCTGGCAACTTGGTTTTATCACTGGAGCAAGCTGGAGGGAGAAGGTGGTGCAAGTGCCCACCCGCTGCCCCAGGCTCCCAGGAGGATTGGGGTCAGTACTTGTAAGTGTGCTAATGAGAAGCTGGCCCTTCAGGAAGCAGTTTGTACTCAGCCAAAGCTTCAGGAAAATACTGGGAGATGGACAATTTGTCTGCTCCCTCTGTGCTGAGCCCTGGGGTGATAGCAACAGCAAGTACTCACACACTCCTTCAGAACTGCATCTTTGGTTTCTATAGTCCTGTGGGTTGATGCAAGCCCTACTGGCTTACAGAGCTAGGTGTTTTTGAGGCCCACCCTTCAGGTGAGAGCCTTAAAAGCTGGGTGCTAGACATAGGGACCCTAGGTTTTCCTCAAGGACAGGCTGGGAATTGGGGGTTCCCTTCTGGTTGTATGGAGTCTTGCTTATACAAGACACTGGGTGGGGGTTTATGGTGAGAGAGTGTCGCAGACTTGCCTATCTGTCACCACATCTTGGTGTGGTTGTCCCTTGGTGTGATTACTTTTATATTAAGACTAAGGCATGACCCTAGCCAGTTTGGCTCAATGGTTAAAGCACTGGCCTGCGGGCTGAAGGGTCTTGGGTTTGATTCCAGTCAAGGGCACGTACCTTGATTGCAGGCTCAATCTCATGTTGGGGCACCTGCGGGAGGCAACCAATCAATGTGTCTCTTTCACATGGGTGTTTCTCTCAATCTTAATCTCTCTCCCCCACCCCACCCCCGAAAAGCAATGGAAAAAATATCCTCAGGAGAGGATTAAAAAAATAAAAAAAGACTAAGGCATTACTCACCTTTTCACTCTGATCTTCTCCTGAGTGTACAGTGGAGTTTTCCAGAGGCTACACAATGTGCAGTGATGTTATTACTATGACAGTAAATGGAACATGTGTTTAAACAAAAGTTCTGGGGTTGCCAATCATATTTAAAAATGTAAATAGTTCCTAAGACCAAAAAGGATGAGAACCACTGTTCTAAACTGAAAATTTTGAAAATGAGCACTAAAGACCTCCAGGTCTTTGATCACCAAATACAAACAATCCAACAAGCCAACAGAACCAAAATGGAGGCCTTAGAAAAAAGATTTACTATGTCCTGGACTCTCAAGCCTAGAACTCTCCAGATCAAAGCCAAAATGAGCAGCAAGGACCACAGCCACTCACTGTTCAGGAGATCCAGTCTGATCCATCCTCTAAGCAGGGATCAGCAAACTATGGTCCACAGGTTAAATAGGGCCTTCTGCCTGTTTTTATAAATAAAGTTTTATTGGAACACAACCATGCCCATTCATTTATGTGTTGTCTAAGGTTGCTTTCTCACTACAACGGCAGTTTAGTAGATGTGACAGAGACCCTATAGCCTGCAAAGTGGAAAATACTTACTATCCAGCCCTTTGCAGCCAGGATGGGCTCCTCTGGACCACATGGACCTTGCTGAATCCACAGCAAGGTTACCTAAAGTAACCACAAAGGATGGTCTGAAACTTTTTTTTTTTTAACTAAAAGCAGTTTATGGTGGGTAGTCATGTTCTAAGGCAGTATTTTTCCCTAACAAAAGTTAATCTTCACCTTAACTAAACCTGTCCATTTGTCTTTTTGCATCTAGGATAACATACCTGATTAACATGCCCTTGCAAAACAAAGTAATTTTCCTTTTTCCAGACCCCTCAAAGCACAGGCACTGCTCTGCAGAGACCACAAGTCCCCCCATTATCATTGTCATTATATTAATTGTTGACTGTCAACTATCCTGCTCCACCTAAGTAAAAGAAGTGTGTGTCTATCATTTTACTTTTTATCCAATCCCAGAGGTTCCCCCCCCCAATTTGCTTTCTCCCGCCTCCCTAATCTATCACCAATGGATTTTTGGTAGCCCACTTACATCTCCTCTTTTGACTGTAATCTATAAAGCAAGGCACAAAACTGCTATTCTCTGGAGCATTATCTCAATCCACTGAGATTCTGCTTCCTGGCATTTTTGACAGTTTGGCTCAAATAAACTCACAAAATTCTTCACAGGTTTGAATGTTTCTTACATTAACATGACAAGCATTTCCTATTTAATAAGGACTAGATATGATCAACAATATATTCTGATAATTAAAGTTACAGTTTAAAATGCAACATTTTATTGTGTAAAATTCTATGTAGGAAAAGTACAATAACTGGACTTCAAATCCATAGCTACTGAAACTTTTATTTAATGGTTCAAAACACAGCGCCAAAAATACATGGACATTTTAAATTTTCACTAAAAGGGAAAAATACTATAGAATGCATAGTTGCATAAAGTCATTTCAAAATTATCTTAGACTGCAAAATGAAAAACCCCAGATGCTGTACCTAAGTTATCCATGTCCCAAAATAATGCCATTTATGTTAACAATTCTTAAACCGTAATGGTTATAACCACGAGCACATCCATCAAAAGACTGTGAAACTACTGTATTTTAATCAAGTCAGTGGCCAAACAGTTTAAAGGGGCCATAATTAAAGCTGTTGGGTTTTACATAGTAGTAAGGCTCCTATCAGAGGGGCTACAGCACAACAGACTTTCAGGAATCTTAGGAGAGGTGCATAAGTGGCTTAATTACCAGGGTTGTAATGGAATGAGAGCTGCTCACTTCCCAGAAACTATGGCTCACAGAAAACCAACAAGAAGCATAATGAGATATAGACCCCAACAGATTATTTGCTTACAAATGTGTAAAATGCAAAGTGTAAGTTATTCCTACATGTTTAAGTGCTTCAGAATTCATACTGTTTTGGTCATACTTTTCTGCTTCCCAAAGATTACTTTCTCTGTTTTGGCTAAATGATACACAGTCGTTTATACTAGAAATGGTAAAATCAAAGAAAGCTTTGTTTAAGATTGTTTCTATGCCACCAGTTTCTAGTTTCTCAGTAAGGAGTAATTTCACCTTGCAGGTTATATTCCCGACTAATTTACACATTTCTAACCCATGGAATCTGGAAGGAGAGAGCTCACCCTGGTCACACCCGTGGCATGCACGCAGATTCATTCTGCCTCTCTGCTCTTCTTGGAACCAGCCCCTGCTGAATCTTCTGCCTCAACCCTCCTCCCATCGCGGACCTCCTCAGAGAATCTTCCACCACCTTCACGTGCTCTCAGGCGAGCTCCTGGCTGGTACAGCGGCAAGGCCGGCCGGTCCTGCCAGGACAAAAGGGTGGGTTACTCTTCCCAGGGTGGGCAATGCAGGAGGGGACAACATCTCTATTTCTAAGGACTAAGGATCTCAATTATCCAAAGACTATTAGTTTGGCAGCTAAAAACCAGCCTTTTTCACAGCACTATCTCAGAAACTAAGCATTTCAAGGCAAAAAAAAAAAGCATGAAAATAGAGACAGTTAATATCACTGCTCAAACCCAGAACACTCTGTGGAAACACTACAGCATGGTGTTCTCCTCCCAGTCTGAGAGATGACAAGCCAGATACTCACATCTCAGTGCCTCACATTCGCCAAGCTGTGAACTGGGGTCTGAAACAAAGTGAGGCACGGCCCCTCAGATGGCTTTTAGGGTGCTAAACTAAATCGCTATTAGCATTCATAATAAGCAATTTCCGTGTGGATTATTTCTGAACTGTCCCCATCATAGAAAATACTAACCCATCATCTTACTAAACTCTTAGAGGTGGTACTATAAAAATAAAGACTGAATAAAGCACACAAAATGCAATTAAAGAGCTTCTGGGCATGAGGACAGTGAAGCCAGGGAAGGACAGTGTGATTCTGAAGGCTGAGACCTGTAATCCCAGTGGGAACAACTGCTCCTTTCAGGGAAGCCCGTGCTCAAGGAGAGGGACGAAGCAACCCCATCCCAGCTCAGAGGGGCTTACAGCCCAAAGAGGAAGCCCCCTGCCTCAGTGCTCCTTCCTGGCCTGTGTCCATAACAGAGCAGCAGCCACCTGGAGTACAAGGACAGTGCGACTCAGGTGGGCATGTCCCACTGCTGTTTCACTTTACCCACTCCTGGGCTGAGTGTGGAGGCCCCACAGTCACCACTTGAGTTTATCAGAATGCTCTTAATACAAGCCTGGCCAATGAGAAGAGTGGGAAAGGGCTCAGTAGGCTCCATGGATCTGAAACCCTGTGTAGGCCAAGATGCAGGCTTCACAGCCCACCATCTCCCGAGCCAACAAGCATGGCTCTCTCTGCTCTTCACCAGGGTAACATCGGTGTGTACAGTTAGAAACTGATCCTAAAAGGACATCATAACCTGCCAGGCTGGTAAGAAAGGAGCTATTACCCACAAAGCACTTTATCACTGCTACGACACTGCAGACTTAATTGACAGAAGGAGTCATCGCTAGTTCCCACACCTAAAGCTGTGCAAATACCCAAATCACTCACTCCTGCTACATGAAAAGGCAGTTGAAAACAAGTTCATAGGAACAACCCCACCAACGAGACCCATGGCTATACCTGGTGTACCCGAGGTTAAGGCAACTATAAAAACTCTTTGTTATACAGACTTGACCAGTCAGGGTGAAGCTAGAAGGTTTCTTGAAGATCTCCCTCGCTTTTACTGGAAACATTTAGAAAACTGAGATCACTGATTCAGCACGGAACTTGGATGGATCTGATGGAAATCCATGCTGGGTGAAAAAGCCAATCTCAAAAGGTTACATACTCTATGTTTCCATTTCTACAGTGTTCCTGAAATGACAAAGTCATAGAGACAGAGAACAGAGAGTGGCTGCCAAGGTCAGGAACAGGTGGGAGGTGTGTGTGACCTGCAGCCCCAGCAGCCTCAGTCATATTTGCTCACCTGGAGAGCAAGCTCTGGGGGACTGACAGCTCATGGGGCCGGGCCCTGGAAGGGAGATGACCCCATTTATAGTGCTCCTCTGTGACAGTGTGATCTGAATACAAATTAACCTCAAATTCATGAAAGAAAATCTGTTTGTTGGGCTAAGTGTGCAATCTCAATCCTGTGTTGATTGTGCAGGTCTAATTTTTGGGTGTTTATGAGCCATGTGATTGTTCATCAATCATCAGATGTTGTTAATAACGGAAAAGAAAGCTCCATGAAATATCGTTAATATTTTCCTCACTGTCTTAGTGGTGAATCTGATAGTAAACCATTATTTATTCTCAAACAAATAGTAGGAAAGTGCTAATTTTATACTAAATAGAAGCTTATGTTTTTCCTGATTAAAGATGACGGATGGTTCTATTTTTCAATTTGTCATTCAGCACTTGGTACCCACTAAGTGAGTGGACAAGAATAACTGCTCTGGCAAACAGAAACTCTCAGGGCTGTGCGCCCCCTAAGATAACAGAGGAACCAGCACAGGCAGACCTCTCACTGTCAGGGTGTGAGATCCTGTACTGCAGACACCTATGTAGATTTTCCTTTTTTGGTGAAATAAAAGAATTTCTGTTTGGAAAAGCAGTCATAAGCCCGCAGAAGGACAGTTTATACTTTTAGCACATACAGATGAGTGAGAGATTATCCCAAATGAAGAAAATAACCTTGTTTCGCACTCTCTCCTTCCTGGGTGCCGGGCCATCCTCGCTCTTCTGTTCTCTCCCTGGTCTCTCTGCTGCTTCCACAGGGAAGCCACGGTCCTGGCTCCCTGTCTTCCCTCTGTCTGCCGTGAATCCTTTCCCTGATTTTGTCTCTTCTTCATTTCTTCTTGAAAACTTGTCAAACTCATAGTGAGCTCTAAGCTTTCTGCTGTCATCCAAGTGGTATCTTTGTGTCTCAAGTTCTTTTTCTCGAAATTTTCTCTCCATATCCTTTTGCTCTTTATCACTGTCATTTTGTGACCTGTGATTTAATATACATCATCAATAATCTTGTGTAAATTGCTTACGTAAATCTTATGATTACCTGTCTTCCCTTCAGGACTATAACAGGGAATATTTGTCTGCCCATCACTTTATGCCAAGTTTGTACGTGATGGGCACACCACAAGCATTCAATAACAAACTATTAAAAAGATGGACAAATTATACTAACAATACTTACTGTTTACTTGAGTGACACATATGTATTAAGTGCTATACTAAGGTACCAAATATACATATTTTATAATTTCTCAGTAACCCTCCAAAATAAATATATTTGTCCCTCATTGCAGATAAAGTAAATGAGACTACAAATGGTCAAATGACTTTCCCAGTAGCCCAAATGCATATCCATCATGAGGCAGAGCTGACACTGACAGCATAGTTTTTGCTCCAACTATAGTTAAAATTAACTGAAATTTAATACAATTTGTGTATATGTCAAACTATTAAATAGAAAGTAAATAAATAAGTGGCTGGTTAGCTCATCTGGTTGTTAGAAGTCTTTCCCTCCATGAACCACAGGCAAAAGTCCTCACATAACATCTGTGGATCCCAAACATACAGAAGCAGCAGAACTAGTAGGAACAAAAACATCTATAAGCAAAGCGCAAACTGGTGCCAGAAGCATGACAAAAGGCACTGCTGTGTCATAAGCAGCAATAATACAAATGTGTGTTAACATAAACCACAGTGCTAACAGATCAGGTTTGATATCATGTATAAATTAATTTTGTATACAAACCAATAAACCAGAGGCCCCCCAAAAAAGAGGGAGAGAAAACTTTCCATAACTCTGTGTGCACGACAGGCAATGATGCTGTTCAGGTTACTGTGATCCTGGGCAAACATCAGCCTAATCCCATGACCTTGCCCTCTGCACTCGAATCCACTTCCATACTCTCCTGTGAGTGGAGCAGCCCTAGGCTCTAGAAAGCTCTCAAGTGTCCAAATGCAGTGCATGGGCAGGAGCCCTGGGTCAGGGGGACACGAAGCCCAGCTGCATGTGGCCCCACTGACTGTGGGGACATGAACAAACCCAGGGCCAGGGGCAGAATGAAGGACCTACCTCCTGACAAGCATTTGGCTGGTCTTTCTGTGGACCTTGAACAGAGACTGCTATGCCTGTCTTGTTCCCAGAGAAGTCCTGCCCAAATCCCTTTCGTGAGCTCCTGTAATGAGCAGGCAAAGACCTAGGTGCCAAAGGACCCTCAGGGGGAGAGAGGTGGGGCTGGCACACTATCAGGATCTACAACTATGGGTCAAATTCCATGGGACCAGAGGTCTGACAACTCCAACAAAGGAATTACGGCACTTACAATTGTATCTCTTTAGCAGAAAAGACTTTTAGCACCTAAAAGACCAAGTTCTCAAATTTATAATTCCATAGACAAATGGAAGGAGGTCTGGAAGATCAAGTGGGCAAGATATGTCAAAAGACACAGGAAAATTACAAACTCATAAAAATCACAAGGAAAAAAGACTCAGAAGAAGATCCTGAAAACCTAAAGTGCAATAACAGAAACTCAAAGGAAACAAGAAGGACATTTTCCCAATTTGAAGACATATTTGAAGCTGCACACTAAATGGGTTTACCAAGTTCCTAGCATGACCAAAGAGAAGCAAAAATGTGAACAAGCATTCAAGAATTTCAAGAATATTATGAAATATAAGCACTCGAACTGACAAAGGAGATATGATTATGACATGACAATCCTGTGATGCTTAACATGGTCAAAAAAACAGAATGTGGGGCTCACTTTTCCCTGCGCTCCTCCAGCAGGCTCTCCCAGGGCTTGGCCTTCACAACGGCACAGCCAGGACTGGCTTCCCATTGTCCATCTCTACTTTCAATTTCCTCTCCTGGTTCTTTTGGCTTCTCAGTGGCTGTTTCCTCTCCTTTTTCTGGCTTCTTAAGAAGCTGAGAAATTATGATGTTAGTAAAATATCACTTTAAGAGTATATTGTAAAAGAGGTCATTTAATAAATAATTAAAACTATATACCAATATTGAGCCCAAATGTTTGAATAACAAAAAATTTAAGATAAAGGTCCAATGAACAGGTTTTGGGTTAAATACCTAGGGCAACATTCAGTGAATGAAACATTTTGTAATTATGAAAAATGATTTAGGATAGTTAATGTGATGAATCAATGCTTCTATTAATGAATAAAGGAATGTTATAAAAGAATGATCTGATTTCTACTTCTGTGCTGACACACACACATAGAAAAATTTCTAGAAGGCTTGCAACACTGTTAATAGTGATTATGAGGTGACAGAACTGAAATGAATTTCTTTCCTTTCACCTACAGGTTCTAGTTTTTAAAATTTTTTTTTTAATCCTCACTGAGGATATTTTTTCCATTGCTTTTCAGAGAGTGGAAGGGAGCGAGAGTCATCTATGTGAGAGAAACACATCGATTGGTTGCCTCCCGCATGCGCCCCAACTGAGGATTGAACCTGCAACCTGGGTACGTACCCTTGGCGAGAATTGAACTGTGGGCTAACGCTCTAACCACTGAGCCAGATCAGCTAGGGCAGTTCTAGTTTTTTTCCAAATAAACAAGTACTGCCCTGACCAGTGTCCCTCAGTTGGCTGAACCTCGTCCCATGTACCAAGAGGTCGCAGGTTCGACTCCCAGTCAGGGCACATGGCTTAATCCTCAGTAGGGGGCACACAGCAGGCAGCCGATAGATGTTTCTCTCTCTCCTTCTCCCTCTCTAAAATCAATAAAAAATCTTTTGTAATAAGAAAAAAAACATTTTTTAAAAGGTTGCTTTATATTAATGACTTTTAGAACAGTTTTAGAGTTTTCAAAATTTATTATTCCCTTTCTTCAGACTTCGCAGGTTGCTATGATGTGTTTAGTTTGGTATGCCTTTTATTTGGGCCTCCTGCCCAGTTAGTTCCCCATATAACTTACTCTTTGAAATTTAAGTATCACAGGTAGAGGCAGTTTGTAAAACATAAATGGAAGATATACTTGTGAGAGCTTTGTTCTATTTTTAGGTGATTAATACAAATTCTTTTGGAATTTCTTCACAGACTTTGTTTTTCAGAGTTGTTGGTTTTTTTTAAAATTTAAATTCTCCAAATCATTCATAAGTTAGAGATCCCCAAATTGAGCAAAGATGCTTGTTAGAGGCTTATTGGGTCAGATGTATACTGTTGGGTCAGAACACCAGACACTCCTCAGGACAGAAGCTGTGGACTACTCACATCATTGGATCTAACCTGCCACTGAGATTTTGTTCTACCAGACTTAAACAAAACTCACTCTTTATTATGCTGTGTTTAAGTTTTGATTTCTTTTTTTCTATATGAAGGATCAGATATTTTCTTTACTGACTTAAATTTGTTTTCATTTCTCTGGCTTATTTTGGATTTTAATTCCATTCTCCAAACTGAAGAAGTAAAATGTTATACTCCAAATACTTGAAGTCTTACTTAAAATTATACATAGTTGAAATTGTAGGCTACAAGTGTCAGTGATTCTTCCTGAAAAACTCTCAAAACTATTGACAAAAGTGCTTCTGAGAATGTAAAGCATTAGGCACTGAGTGAGCCACTTCTCTTTGTTCAGAAAGTCAAAATGAAAAGGTTAGATAGTGTTTGCAGACCTGTGACCATTAAATTTGCATTAAATGTATACCCACTTTGTCCCTGTCATAACAGAACTGAATTTCTACAACAAAAACCTTTCCTGTAATATTATTTGTTATTTGAGATTAGGTGGGGTCACATGGCTTGCTTTGGCCAGTGGAACGTGGGAAGAGGGATGTGTCACTTCCACATGGAAGGTATAAGAACTAGTGTGCAATTGGCCATATTACACATTCCCTTCCCTTGTCATAAAGATTGTAGAAGCAAATGCCAAGATGTACCTTCCATCAGCCTCGGTCACTGGATGGCTACGATGAGGAATGCACAATGGACAAGTGACATGAACAAGAAGAGAACTTGAGTTTTATGAAACCAATGAGATTTTGAAACTATTTGTTACTACAGCATAACCTAAGCAGTCTGACTGATACAAATGCTGATGTGTTTTTGTAGGAATATTGTTAAGAAATTGTTCCCTCCATTGCTAGTACACCCCTTTTGGGGGAAACTATTTTAGAAGCAAAGGCCTAGTAAAAGCTTTGCTTCTCTTAAGGAACTGGCACGTTTTCTCTTTATGGAAAATGACAACTATGTTTCTGACCAACTTCTCAGTTTATCAGAAACTAATCTATGGCACAATGAAGGAGATTGGTTTCTTCATCATACTTTCCCTTTCTACTCTGTATCTTCCCCCAAGCACTGACCTTCGATTTTTTTTTCTTTGTATCACATTAGGTTGAAACCTAAGTTTAACAAGGTCATCTAAGCAGAATACTAAGAAGGTAAGGGCTGGCTCTATTTTACACAGAGAAAAGTTCCCTCTATGTATTAACCACCCTCCTAAATGAATGCATCAGGCAAAGAGAAACTGGGCAGGAGATGTAGAAACCACTTCTACAAGAAACCCAGTTCTACGAGTCAGCCTTCATCTGGCAAGACTAGTAGACACTCAGCCAGTGGTTTTCAAATGTGTATTTTTTAGGCAGGAAATCTTTTCATTAAATCAAAATGTAAGCAGGAGCCCAACCTATGGTACTTAAATGTGGGGCTCCTCAGGGTGAAGTGCTCCTTTTGCATCCAGAAGGCTGACCCTCCTCCACCCTTCCACCCACTCAGTCCTCCCAAACACAGCATGTCCAAGGAACCCCAAGGGCTCAAGGAACACAGTTTGAGAACTACTACTGTAGAATAGAGAAAAGAAACTATAGTAAAAAAAAAGACTAGAAAATTAAAAATGTTCGTTTACTTCCAGAGAACTAAAATACTTAAAAGGCATGATTAGGATAGCAGAACTATTTTTGAAGAAAAGAAATGAAAGGTCTCCAAATTACCTTAATCCTTACTTCTTTCTCAGCAGCTTTCTTTTGTTTGTCTGTTTCTTTTCTCTTACATTTTTCCTCTTCTCTTTTCTTTCTTTTTTCTTCTTCCCGTATGCGTTTCTTTTCCAGTTCCCTTCTCCTTCGCTCTTCTCTCTTCTCTTCTCGAATTCTCTAAAGAGATGGAAAAATATGTATATAAATTGTCTGCATGGATGTGGTACAAATATGAAGGATATCCACCAGGTAAAAGGCCAGACATACCTGCTTTTCTAATTTTCTATTTTTAATGTATTCCAAAAGAGGTGTGGTTCTTCTAGCTAAAACAAAAAAATTGTAATGAAGTATTTAACTCAAAAATAAGATTTCTTCCCTTTGTTTTAAATACTTGTTTTCAATGTTTAAAATAATTTAGGGAAGAACATTATCATTTTTACATTTACATGAGCACATATTGTATTTGGGGGGGTTCTTATTCCATCACTATAAAGTCAAGTAATTTGGAGTAGTGACAATTTACACATAGTACACATTTAATTCCTGATTCTTAAGGGAGTCATATATTACAAAGATGGTATAAAAGCAAGATGAATATAATGCATTTAACTTCCCAAAAGTTATAGTCATATTTTTGCAGATATTATAAATTATTACATATTTATATTTTCACTTTGATTCCACACATATTCTGGAAATTTCTTCCTTTTCGGCTCTCCACACAATGGTTTTAAGCAATGTGAATTCTTATAATTTCTTATAATATATGCTCCATAAGTCAGAATAACCAGAAGTAAAAGTTTAGAAAATAGCTCCATATGGCACTGTTGATCTAAAAATTACCAACTACTCAGAATTAAAGGCCTCCACAAACTCTAACTGGATCCTCAACTTTCATGCCCCTGACTTGTCTGACCTGACCTGGATGTTGGGTGCCCAACCAAACATGTGGCAGGCCTCCAGGTGCTGCCTCCCCGAGGGACTCACTCGGAGAAGTATGTGTTCCCGGTAACAGTGGTTGAGGACTGAGGTAAGCAGGCGGAAGATGGTTTGGGTCTACAGTACAGGCCTTTGAGACCTTGGATTAAATGAAGGAAGGAAGACTCCCTGGATGCACCTGAAGGCTGACATGACATTTCCAGAATTCTGAGGATCGGGGATGAATCAGATATTATAGGACAGCCCCTGACAGGGAAACTGAGGACTCCTGAACACCTTGATGTCACATACAAATCTGCCAGGGGAGCTGTACCCCAGATTCCCAGCCATGGTGAAGAGCTGATGCACTGCAGATACACACGTTTCATCACAAGTACGGGGACCAAGGAGAGCCTGCTCCCTCCCTGGTGGCTCCTGTGTTAACCACAAACCCTGGCTTAGGATTAATTAGCACAGCCAATGCCCTTCATAACAGGAAAGTCACCCCAAATTAAGGAGGACGCTTCTCTGTACCATGGAAGTTCTGCCAAGGAAAGGGCCGAGACCTGCCTTGGTGGGTGAAGGAACTGAACTGAGAATGCACCTGCCTTCCCTCCTCTCCAACAAAGCACCTGCCTTGTTACCCCCAAAGATCAACATGAAGGGAAACTGAGACCTTGTATAAGAAAGTGCTTTACAAACCACAAAAGTGTATTATTATTAAATAGAGGACACGTGATCATGCAACATACTAATTTATCCAACAGTATAACTGTTGCCACCTACAGAAAGCTAATGCACAATAGGCACTGTCACCACAACCTATGAGGAAACAGGGAATCTGAGGCTAAGGATGAGGCCACATGGTTGATAGGTCTTAGGTCTGTCTGCTCTAAAGACCCTGATACGCCACTGCACTAACATGCAACTTCAGAGTGAATTAATATTTCCATTTAACCCTGATTGTTTAACCTTGATCATAAGAATTCATTGAAGGCCATTTAACATTTTATTCTTACACATATGGTTTAATGCTCTTTTTTACTCATTGAAATGTCATGTACTGCCTGACTGGCTTGTAGTATTGTTACAGATTGTCGTGCATTAGCACAGATTTTAACTATCATGATTGCAGACTACAGACCTGCTTATTGAAATGAAATTTAAACATTAAAAATGGAACTGTTACTTAAATAAAATAAAATAAAATAAAATAAAATAATAAAATAATAAAATAAAAAATTAAATTAAATTAAATTAAAAATAAAATAAAATAATAAAATAAAATAATAAAATAAAATAAAATAGAATTCTCTGAAGGTCAGAATCTAAGAAGAGAAAAAGGCTACTGCCATGATTTGCCTCACTAAGGTACAAATCCACATGGGCAGAAACGGGAATCACAGAAACAAAGCACTGTACCTCATCCTGTGGATCCTGAGCTAGTGAATCTTTGTCATATTTATTCATTCAGTAAATAATTATGACAAATCTACCGGGCACCAGGCACTGAGAATGGGTGAGGGAGGGACTTATCCCTCCTCTGCAGGAGAGCTACTGGAAACTTCTGGAGGGTGTGTAGACCTCTGACCACCAGAGGGATGCTCCAAAACTGCCTGAAGTGAAAGATCCCGCCGCTTTCCTGCAGTTATCTTGTATGAGGATATTTAAACAAAGTGGTAATGAAATGGGAGGGGGGAGGAAAGCAAGTTCTATAAGCAACATGTAATTTGCTTCTCCTTTTAGCTCTTCTTAGTAACATGTTCTACAGCAAAATCTGGATTTGCCTCTAATACTGTTTCTCTTCCAGTCTTCCTTATGTCAGTAATGGTGCCACAATCCACTGCTCTGCTCATGTCAAACTCCTGGAGGCTCTTACCTCCCACATACAATCTGTCAGTCACTCCTGTCAGTTCTACCTCCAGAATCTATGCTGACTCTGCAGCTTCATTCACGCAGCCTTCCCTGGACTACAGCCACAGCCTCCTAATCGAGGCCCAGCTTCTCCTCTGGGCATTCATAACCCATCATGTATGGAGTAACCAGAGTGATGGGGAGAATAAAGCAGACCATGTCACTCCTTCAGTGGTTTCCAGGGGTCCCACAAATAAAATCCAAAGCTCTTACCCACCAGCCTGACATGATGTGCCCACCTGCCTCTCCAGCCATTCTGTTCCTTGCCCACCATGTGCTGACCACACAGGCACCCATCCTGCTCCTACAGCCCAAAGTGCTTCTGGCCCTTGCAGCTGGAGTTCCCTCTTGTTCCATCCCTTAGCACAGCTGGCCGCAGCTCAAATATGGGCTCAGAGGGACCCTCTCTCTATCCCATTATCCTGTTTCATTACGTCTGTGGCATGTATCATGTATGGAAATGCTCTGGCCTGAAGGTTGATGATTTCTGCCTGTGTTTACCACAGGCATCCCCACTAGAAGGGCAGCTACAAGAGGGCAGAGGCCTTGTGCATCCTATCACACTCTGTCCCATGCCCAGGCTCAGAGTCGGTACCCAGTCAACATGCACTGAACAAAACTGAGCAAATGCATCCTAAGTACATCTTAATAAATATTTACTTTAGTGATTAAAAACCTTTGAGCCACGTTAGATCAGCCGTTATAAAATATAAAGCTTCATTATTAGACTAACGAAGAATATTTCCATAATGTTAACCTTTCTTATTAATTTACCCAACAAACATTTATTGAATACCTAAACTTGTCCAAACAGTGCACAACGTGCTGGTCTACAAACAAAAACACAGTTCCACTGGGCTGGGGAGTGGGGAGACGGATGAGAAGAGAGCTTCTGTGGAGGGAGATGGGCAGATGAAGATAAATTATGAAGTGTAATGTCCTGTTCTGTAATTGCTAGTGAGCGAGCAGCGGGCAGACCTGGGGAGGGGAGGATGGAGCATGAGCCTCAGGGAGGGCCCTGCGGAGGGGCCTGGGGAAGGGGCCTGGCACTGAGTGGAGACCAACAGGGGATGTTTGGGAGCTATAAGCAGAGTGCCTGATGATAGAAAAAGGTGTCTACTCAAGTTTTTGGGAACTGCTTCTAGGAGATAACCACTTATTTCTAAGATATAACACTTGTAGGTGTAGGGCTGAAGGCCTGATTCAAACCAGATTCTGTGCTCTGGTTGCATTTATCTACTTGGTTGCTTGGGTTGCTCAGAAGGCTTGATATATGTTTTTGAACAGCAGCAAGATGATCTCACACTTAAGCCAAGCATCTCATTTCTGTGATTGGTCTTTGAAATGATACTTACTTCAACCCTGAGATACAACGCTCTCTCCCTAATTCAGCCAGGCGCAGGGCACTCAAATATCTTTTCTACTGTTCATTCATCACAACTTTGAAACAAGATGAATGCAACTGAAAACTCAATGCTCTCTCACCCACAGACACTCAGAATATCTTCCCAAGCTGCCATCTCGCTATCCTTTTGTCAAAACTAGGACATAGCCCACATTTCTGCCAAGCCTGTTACAAGTGTCAATTTTTTATGAAAATCATGAAAAACAAGAAATATATACTCTGTAAATGCATATCTCAATAAAGAGAAGAAATGAACAAAACAGACCAATAAGTTCTCTTGTCTTTGCCTCTATGTCTCCCAGCAGAGTTTCAGGATTGGTACTAGTTTTCTCTTCCTCCACACAGTAAGTTTCTAAAAACTTCTTATATTCTGGATCTGTAAATTTGAAAAGAAAAAAAGAAAATAAATACACTCCTCCCCATATAAAGGAGAGAAACTGTATTTAATCAGTATATTTAATGTGGTAGTTTCATAATCCAGCCTTTGAAAAAGGACTCACCATCATCAATGCTTCCGGTTTTGGCATCTTTTTTCTTTATCTTCTTTTTGGCTATCTTCTGGAATGGAGCAAACTCTACCACTGCGGGATATTCTAGCCCTTTAACCAGAAACAAATTCCAAATATCAGTCTGAAATTCTACTATATTCATTTTGGACAAGAATGACCTAACTTCCTTTAGGGTTGAGCATAACAATGAAGCCCTTACTGTTTAAACTATAATTTAATTATACTTTCAAGCAAGTGCAACCTTAGCATGTCAACCTCCACATTTAAACAAAGGAGAACAATTATTTATCAAATAAAACACTTCCTCATGTTGCAGTGGAGGCTGCATGACTGAATACATTCAAAATTCATCAAACTGTACACCGTGAAATGATGAATTTTTCCGTAGGTCACTTATACCTCACTATGCCTATCTTGCCTCACCCAAGTGTGGAATATCTTTAAATCATTCTCTTAGTCACATTTAAAATTTTTGTTTTATTTTAAAAGGCTAACTCAATTATTAATCTGTTATATGTATGAGTTCAAGAAAATTATTTTGCTTTGAAGAGCCGCTTTGCTAAAAGAGAGGGCTTCAAAGTGTATACATAATATTCAGGTAAGATTTGCTTCAAATAAAAAAGTTCAGAATGAAAGTGACTAGAAATTCATTTTGTTGCTATGTGTGTGAGAGGGGATATACACATAGAAATGATCACTAAAAGAATCTGCTATTAAGCAAATGGAACACTCTACCTCAGCACTGAACCCACTGTCACTTTTGGACTTGCCAGGAATGACCAGGTGACTGTTATTGTAATTCTCTCATGTATCAGGAAGATACATGCTACAACACTAGTGAACCATGGAACATTATGCTAAATGTAATAACCCAGCAGAAAAAGGGAAATACTGTATGATTTTACTTCTATGATGTATCTAGAGTATTTAAATTCATAGAAACAGAAATTAGAAGGGTGGTTGCCAGGGCCTGGGGAGAGGGAGAAACGGGGAAAGTTGTTGTTTAATGAGTACCGTTTTAGTTTTGTAAGAGAAAAAGAGTTCTAGAGATTGGCTACACAACAATGTGAATGTACTTCACACCACTGAACTGTTTCTCAATATAATAAGATGGTAAATTTACATTATGTGTATTTTACCATAATTTTTAAAGAGGAAAAAAAAGCTACTTGAATGAATTACTGAATAAATGAGCATTCAACACAAATGTCAATAGTTCAAGCATTAAAGTTGCTTTTACTCACAGCAAAAATCTCTTGGCCTCAGCCAGTCACCCTTTAACCATCTTTTCTAGTTTGTGGTCCCTCAGTGGAGGGGAAGAAAACACTTGTCAGTAATGGGGGTAGGGTGGAGTAGGAAGAGGTTGGTTGGTGAGGGGTGTATAGAAAACAATATGCTGCTAAAATTGTACACACATGATGTCAGTGAACACGACTGACAGTCTGACAGGAAAGGAGGGAAAAGAAAAAAAATGTAAAAATCAGAACCCAAAAAAGTACAGAGAAATTGGAATCATTTAGAGTAGAGGTAAATTACATTGTCTCAGCAGACAATGCTATTAAAAGTCAAAAACTGATGTTCAGTGTTACAATCCCTTCCCCCCATGACATCATCCAGAAATGGTATAATTATGAAGCATCCTCTGTTTAGGGAGATACTGATATAAATGAATAATCTAGTTTAGAAATTTTTTATCAAACATGGGTAAAATAATTTAGTTTGGAGGCATAAAAATGTAAAGTTTACTTATCCAGAAAGTTCATTTAGATGAAAAGCTTCAATCTCCAATGATAATACATAAATAGCATGTCACTATTACACAACTACTAGAATTATTTCGTTTATACACAATTTTAATTTTTAACAAGCACACAATCACAATAACATAATGTAAATTTACGCATTACTTTAGATTAGTATCTGAGAACTTTTTAATTAAAACTCACAAATATTCCAGCAAAACTTAATGTAATTAAAGATTGTAACAAAGAGTTTATAAATCCAATGACCCAACCTTTATTGTCAATGAAGATATATCCATCAAACCGATCTCTAAAAAGAAGAATGTCATCAGGATTTCTAAAATTAATGTATGCTCTTGAGTAGAGATGTGGATAAAAACTGAAATAAGAAATAACAGTGAAATTGGTTAGCGAAAAATATGACTTCTTTAATTTTGCCTTTTCCCCCTTGTCTGGATACAACAAAACTACTTCAGATAAAACTTCTATGTAAAAGATTCATCTCTCAGTAAATAACAAAAATCTGGATATTCTTTAGCAAAAAACAAAAAGAAACAAAACATTAACTGAGATATTTTTGATGATTTGGGAGAAACTCTAGATTCTCTACTGCATGGAGCCAGAGCTAAAACACTGGTTCTCAGGGGTTGAAAACCAAAGGCAAGGTTATACAAAGGTCATGCCTCATCATGCATCATGGCTGCAATACAACCTTGTTATAGTTCCTTCACAGAAGAAAATGTTATATTGAAAAAAAGATTTTTTACTGATTTAGAGAACATTTTTAGGTATTATAAGAGCATTTACTGTGCACATTGTACAGCGGCTATAAAAGAACTAAGCCTTTCTCTGCTATCTCACAACTACTAATTTCCTTCATGGGCAGGAACTCTCAACCCCATTTCACAGATGAGAACACTGAGGCTCAGAGAAATTAAGTACTTTTAGAGGATCCAGTTAGTTCAAAGGTGGGACTGGGATTCCAATCTTAACCTCTGGGTTCAGTGACTAGCCTCCTTTAACTGGAACAGTTTTCATAAATTTTAGTCATTTGAAAATCATCTTTATGTTTTTTCTAACCATATCTATATTGACCTATTAGTGATATTTTTTGTTGAATAAACTGACATTTTTTACTTTAATGTATTTATTCAAAAGGATAGTTTTATGGCTACTATAAATAAGAACTCACAATATTGAACATAAAAAGGATAATAATGAATAATAAAAACATAGTAAAAATCACTAAATTACAGCTGAACTGTCACCTGTTAAAGGTCTAACTTGAGGTCAGCACTCTCTTTGTTAATAAAAGGGAGATCTGAAATTAAAAAGTGTTTGTCAGAGTCATCTATGTAGTAAGTTGTAAAAGGGAATTGAAAAAGATGTAACTTGAGAGGAGTGGGTGGAGTCTGGGCATTAGTGATGGAAGGGAGCACAGTGGGACTTCTGGGGTCTGGAATTTGTTTATCTGGTGTTAGTTACAAGGGCGTGTTCACTTATGAAATTTCATCAGGTTATACATCTATTATTTATTAAATTTACTCTGTTATATCTTAATATAACTTACCTTAAAAAGCTACTTGAAATAAGGTTTGTTGATATCCAAAAACAAAAATTAGGTAATATGTTTTTAGTTGGTCTGGTTTTATTTTTTTCTTAGACTATGGTGGTGCCAGTAGAAGTATATTTTAAATCTATTTTAGAGGCATTTGATGATCTGCCTACTTAGAAAAAACTTGCAGAAATAAAGAACTGCACTGATTTCTGGGAACATGTGGGAAAGAAGATGGAAATGGGAGATTTCTTCTATTATCTACAATAATCTGCCAGAAAGTGACAGCGCCTCTCAGATTCTTAATGTAGGTAAACAGCTTCTCACCTGAGATCCCCAGTAAAGAATTCAAAGTAATCGTGTGCAGGTAGTGGGTGTAGCTGCTCTTCCAGCTGCTCCTTGGTGAGGCTGGGAGGAAGGCGCCGGATGACAACCTGGGGAAAGGATGCTGGCTGGGTTTTCTTTCACACTTACTGTGTGTGTCAAGCTTTAATTATTTCAATGCTTGGTGACCTATGTTTATGCTCAGAGGAAAATCTAAACCAGGAGTCCAGCAGAAACACACATTTTAGGAAAGGTTAAGAAAAACATGCATGAGAACATGGCTGTCAAAAAGGTAATGAAGCGTGAATAACTGAAAAGGGATCCCTGAGGTCAGAAAAGGCAGTGCATAACAGTTCTTTTTCATGTAATCATTTCATTACTACCAGACAACCAATGATATGTCTGTGCCCAAGTTGAAAAATAACAGCTTCTCCTACACTCTCTGCACCTTAAACCGCACTAGAAGGTAGATGCATGCAGGGAAGGTATGTATGCCGGAATGTTTGTTACCAGTAGGAACAACCCAACGGTGCATTTGTTACTGCCTAGAGGAACCCTACCTGCTGGGTCGGTGGACACCTTTCCCCTCCAGCCCAGTGTCCACACTGCGTGTCCTCTCCCACGGCGCCACCATGCTGCCCAGGCTCACTACCTTTGCAGCTTCCCTGGACCTGACAGCACCTTCGCCCAGCCGCACCACCCCCTTTTCGTGCCCCCCTCAGGACCGGGGTCCTCGACAGTGTGGAGCTGGTGAGCCCAGCGTTTCAGCTCCAACCGGACACGTTCACCTCAGAAGCTGAATTTTCTTGCCAAACCAGAAAAAGTCAGGCCCAGCCGGGGCGCGTGAGGCAACCAATCGATGTGTTTCTCTCACATCGATGTTTCTCTCTCCTCCTCCTTCCTTCCCTTCCACTCTCTCTAGAAAACAAACAAACAAAAAAAACAACAAAAAAAACAAAGGAAAAAATATCCTCGGGTGTGGATTAACAAAAAAACAAGTAAATAAAGAAATCGTCACTGCGCCCAAAACTCTCCGGCGGCAAGACGGGCACCGCTGTCCGTGGTGCTGATGCGGCAGCGTCACTAGCGGCTCCGCCCCCCCGCGCCCGGAATGCACAACTTAGCCCCGCCCCCACCTCCGGGCCACCCTCTGGCCCCGCCCACCGAACCACCCTCTCCTGCGTCCACCACGCCCCTTCCCTCGCCCCGCCTGCACCCGGTCAGGGACGTCTTCCTCGCGACGTACGCCGGCACCGCCTGTTCTCACTCCGCCCTCGCCCCGCCTCCGCCTTGGACAGGACCGTACTCGACTCCCGGCGTTTGCGCGCCCCATCCATCCTCGCCCCGCCCCATCTCCCGGGAAACCCTCCTCCTCCAGCGAGGGCTGCGGGAACCGCTCCGTCCCCTCTCGCCCCCGCCTCGCTCTCCCCTCGCCCTCCCCGCCTTGCTCAGGACTCTCTCGAGTTTGCCGGCACCGCGAGTTCCCGCCCCGCTCCACGCTGGGGAGGTTCCTCATCCTCTCGCGAAGTTTGCCTGCGCCGCGCCGCCTCCACCCCGCCCCGTTTCTAGCCTCACACCCACCTTGCTCAGGACGGCCCTCTTCTCCTCGCGAGGTTTGCCCGCGCCGCCCGCACACCCGGAGGACAGGGCCGGCGGTGCCCCCGCCTCTCGCCGGGGCGACTCCCGGCGGACCTGGACTTCCACCGCGGGCGTCCTCTCCCTCCCGCTCTGGCTCCGGGCAGCAACGGCCACGCCGGAGCCTCCGGCGCCCTCCTTTTCCGAGCGCATCCCGCACCCTCCGCGAACCCACTGCCGCCTCCGCCCGGGGCTAAACTTCGCGAGAACTGAAACG